AGATGAGGATGGGAATTCATTCCTGCAGTGGTTTCCAGCCTCCAGAAGTTGAGACCCATAGCTTCAGAGACTTGCTGATTGGAAGCCTGCTCGAATGAACAGTTCTCAGACCTATCATGGGTTCACTTTTACTGAAAGTTCAAGCCTGATCCATTTAAATCCCTCTTGGCAATCTGTTTTAAGTTGTTTTACCCTGTCGTAAGGTAGTTAGCAAAAAGTACTTCCCATTTGTTCTCTCCATTCTTGAAGAAGGGTAGGACAAGAATTCAACTAGAGATAGGAGCCAGTCTCCACCAACCCTCACGTTTTAGGGTACCAACAAAGGCAAGCTAGAGACCATTTAAAGCATACCACATTTAAAAAGAACCACTGTCTCCTCTAGTAATTATAAGGGATAGTAAAGACTGAAGCCCAGTGATCTGGGTGACGGTGTGAGTGATTCCAAACTCCATCCTTAAGGCTTTCTGAGAGACTGGGAGCTGACCTCCCTGTTCCTCTCCATTTCATCTGGCTTTCTAGAAGTTCTCCTGAGGTCAGACCTGACTGCAGAAACAGTCTCACTGCTCTCGTATCCACTTCTCCAAAGGACTATTGCTAAAAGGAGCTTTAATTTCCATTTTACCCAACTTCAGTCCTTAGAAAAGTCTCTTTTGAGAGAGAGAGAGAGAGAGAGAGAGAGAGAGAGAGACCCTGTAGCAACAATTGACCTAGCACTTGCTATGTATACCAGACTGACCTTAATCTCTCAGAGACCCCCTGGCTTTGCTTCCAGAATTTGACAAGAAAAGGAAGCATTTTTAAACTTTAAAAACACTCAATTAATTAATAAATTACCTTCTTATTAAATGGACAGACTCTGGGGCTGGAGAGATGGCTCAGCAGTTAAGAACACTGGCTGTTCTTGCAGAAGACCCGAGTTCAATCCTAGCACCCACATGGCAACTAACAACTGTCTGTAACTACAGTTCTAGGGGATCTGACAGCCTCTTCTGCCCTCCACGGGCATTGCATGACACAGGTACACTTACCAACATGCAGGTAATACATGCATACACACAAATAAAAATAATATTTTTAAAAAAGTAGAATAAAATGGACAGATTCTGGACTAATGACTTTTTAAATATTTATTTTTATGTGTATGAATGTTATGCCTACATGTAGGTAGGTGCACTCCTGTCATGCAGTGCCCAAGGAGGTCAGAAGAGGGCGTCGAATCCCCTGGAACTGGAGTTACAGACAGTTGTTAGCTGCTATGTGGGTGCTGGGAATCAAACCTGGGTCCTCTGCAAGAGCAGACAGTGCTCTTAACTGCTGAGCTATCTCTCCAACCCTGGATTAATGACTTTTAATTATCCTTGCAACCAAAAAGCTAACGCAAGCTGAGCCATGTGCTCTTGTGACCTGGGCATCTCACTAAATTTTCTACCTCACCCAAGATAGTAAATGAATGTGAGTCTGCTTGAGAATTAACAAATCGAAGCACTGAAAGGCAGTGTATCTTCACTGAAAACAATGAAGGCAGAAAAAAAAAATGCTTGACTTTATGTGCATGAGATGCTTTGGGCCTTGGAATGAAAGGTCAAGATTGTCTGGTAAGAAAAGGATAGATCCAAGCTTGTAGCTCCCCAAAATTGATCCTGGGGAAACAGTTTTGAATAGAATTATGGATGAGGCCTACGTCAGCAGTTCCAGGAGACATCTGGGGGAATGGGTACCCTCTGAGTTCAGGCCCACTCTTTAAAGTTAAGAGTCAGACAGTTTATTCAGGTATAACTGTAATGTTGGTATGTAATACTGCAATCCTTTGATTGAAATAGTTTTGCTGAAGTGTCTCCACATAAAACACTTAGCATCTTGAGCTATACATGGTGGAACATGCTTATAATCCTAGCACTCAAGAGGCTGAGGCAAGAGGAATGTGAGTTCAAGGCTAGCCTGGGCTAAATGGTGAGCTCCAGACCAGCAGAACAGAGCATAGGAATCAAATCCAGCAAGGCCCAGCACACAGAATTCACCATCCAGTTGATGAACCAGAGGTATTCAGGTATATATGTTGTGAACATGGAGATCTTCAGGTCACACAGGTTGCCGATACCATACTTGAAGTCTCTGACTTTGACATCCTTCATTGTGGCTGTCCGTATCTGCCACTGTGAGATTAAATTAGTCACTTGGCAAAGCAGAGGGATCAGAGCTCTGACTCTGGGCCTTTTTCACTCATAGCTTATGGGCTAAATGGCATTCTTTGATGACATTGAAAAAGCCCAGTATCTTCCACTGTGAGGTTAAATCAGTCACTTGGCAAAGCAGAGGGATCAGAGCTCTGACTCTGGGCCTTTTTCAGTCATAGCTTATGGGCTAAATGACATTCTTTGATGACACTGAAAAAGCCCAGCTGGTCTTTCTACCCGAAGGAAGATACATTGAATCCTATTCTGTCTACTTTCCTTTTTCGCTTTTCAGTCTCCATTTCTTTTTACAAGATGCAGGTGCTATAGGAGTCGAGTCTTACTAGAACTATGTTGTCTGAACCAAGGCTTCCCCTCCCATCTCTTTTCCTGCTCTGCCAGCTGCTTTATCTGTTCCTAGCTAGAATGCATTCTGTATATTCTAGTGATTTTTAAATGGCTCTTTCTCTGTCTTGTTTGTTCTCCTTACTCAAAAATCTCTCATGGTGTTTCTCAGTGAAAACAATAATTATTTTTCCCACTAGGGAGCATTTCTGTGAACACATAAGTGAATGGCGGGAAATCTATGACAGTAAGGAACCACACAATGTGAAATTTCCAGAACCGATGGATACGACGCTAAATGAACTGCAGAAAATAATAGTTCTTCGGTGTTTAAGACCTGATAAGGTAAAGGACAAATTTAGAATCCAGATAATTTTCCATTTATGAAGTACCAGTCTTGTGTTGCATAATAACACTTCAGTCCACAATGAGTCTCTTAGAAAAACAAAAACACAGTGTGACCAGAATCTCAGGTTTGCTATTTGGCTGCTATACTGAAAACCTAGAAGCAGGAACAGGCAAAAGACAAGTGGATTTATTTACAATTTGGGCCAGAACTGGAAAAAGAAAAAAAAAAACCTCCATTTCTCTATTTCTTTGGGCCTTACCTATAGAAAAGACAAAGTAAAAGCCAAGAGATAGGTACATTTGTCCATAAGAGATGCTCTCATAATTCTTTCCTACAAGACGGTTCTTCTGGCAGCTCCTCCTCTGACAGGACTTCGAGCTAGTCCCACTCTTCTGGCCTCTGGAGATTTTTCATTGTTTATGGTTCCTGTTACACTAAAAGAACCGAAAATTTCCTATCACCAGGAGGTGTTGCATCCATCAAAAGGTACAATTCATTCGTCACGTCTTCATGCTGATATTGGTGTAGATAAATCTGAACTGACAGCCATGAAGAGAGTATAGCAGACAATTATGTATAGCACATAATTCTTGCTAATATTGATAAGTTACTATTTTATTCATTTGCTTTAAACCATCATTTTAGAATATAGTTCGTCTTTTTAAAGAAAAAAGATAAGTATGAACTAGGCGTTGTGACACACTCTAGCACTTGGGAGGCAGAGGCAGGTGGATCTCTGTGAATTCGGGGCCAGCCTGGTCTACATATGAGTTCCAGAGAAGCCAGGGCTACTTAGTGACACTCTGTCTCAAAAACAAAATGAGAGAGAAGAGAGAGAGAGAGAGAGAGAGAGAGAGAGAGAGAGTTAAGCATATAGCAGCCAGAGTGAAGTCCTTCAGTAAAGATTTCAGAAGGCGTTGCCACCACAGGAGATGGCAACTCCATTAGGTTTATTGCCACTTAAAGATCTTCTGGGGATGTAATCTGACATTGGGGTTCAGAGGACATCTCTAGAGGGTTCCAGGTTCTTGTTTCCTGGAACAACGAAATGAGCAGACACACACAGTTGCAGCTGGAGCAGAGAACAGATCTTTCTAAGACAAGAAGCTCACTAAAGCAGGGAGAGTTTAGCAGCTTCACTGCCTGGCCTGTTCTGCAGAGTTCGGGCTTTCATGTCACCTTAGCACAAACTTCTCCAAGCACGTTCAGCTACATGTTCTACAAATTACCTTGTGTGTTCCATGTCCCAACAGCATCTTAAAGCTCCACCCAGGCTGTACCTTTTAGTATTATAATGAGCCATAGGTCAGGTTGCTCTCAGGTACTCTGGAGTAACTCTGTGCCTGGGCCAATGGTACCACCCAGTTTCTGTTGGCCTTGGCCAGCAAATGTCCAGCTTTCTTCTCTGCCAACCTGTTTTTTGTATCTGTGTAAGTGTAAGACCTTCTGGACCTCACCTCTCTATCCTAGTCTCCTGCCTCAACAGAACAAAATATGGATATAGAAGACAGTGGTACTGATGATCCTGACTCCGTATAGACCTAAGCTAACACATAAGCTGGTATCTTGGGTTTGTTTTTGTTTTTTTTTTTTTTTCATTTTATTTTGGTTTGGTTTGGTTTGGTTTGTTGAGATGGGGTCTTATTTGGATTTTGAAACACGGTCTCACTATAAATCTCTGTCAGGACTGGACCTCACTATGCAGACCAGGCTGACTGAATTTACAGCAATTCTCCTGCCTCTGTCTCTGAGTTCTGGGATTACAGGCATGTGTGGCCTTTGAGAGCAAGGTTTACTGCTGTGTGCAGCACAAACAAGCACAACACTAGTTAACAGTGACAGTGTGACAGCCGACAATCCTGAGCCCCTTTAGGCTGACAACCAACAGTCCTGAGCCCCTCTAGGCTCAGGTATTACCAGGGCTCTTTGGGGGATTCGCCTGACTTTTGTCCCTCATTGTCAGATGGTCGAAGTGAAGATAGTAATAATAACTCTTTAGCCCTAGCTATCTGAAACTCATTATGTAGGCCAAGCTGGCCTTAAACGTGCAGTGATCCTGTTACCTCAGCCTCCCAAATGCGAGGATTACACTCAGTTGTCTCCATTTTTAATTTCAAAAATTTATGGCTGAGAGAGGGGGACGTCCGGCTTCGGCGGGTGGCGATCGTGGTGTTGCCGAGTGGAGAGCGAATTAAAAATGGGTGATGTTGAGAAAGGCAAGAAGATTTTTGTTCAGAAGTGTGCCCAGTGTCATACCGTGGAAAAGGGAGGCAAGCACAAAACTGGACCAAATCTCCATGGTCTGTTTGGGAGGAAGACAGGTCAGGCGCCTGGATTCTCTTACACAGATGCCAACAAGAACAAAGGCATCACCTGGGGAGAGGACACACTGATGGAGTACCTGGAGAATCCCAAAAAGTACATCCCTGGAACAAAAATGATCTTCGCTGGGATTAAGAAGAAGGGAGAGAGGGCAGACCTAATAGCTTATCTTAAAAAGGCA